AATAATAGATAAAAACAGCTCGTTCTAAGGTAACAGTTCCCATATTCAGGTGATTACACACTAATGAAAACACACCTATGAATATTCCATTTCTGATAATAGATCCTCCTAAATGTTACACACCTTTAAGTGCAGTACTTGAGAAAATGTAGTTACAAGGATAATACCCAATACTGATCACTTTAGCACTGAATGTGTCATTCCATGGTATTCCTATAAGGTTATTTGTTCTATCAGCAAGTATAAGGGTATAATTCTGATAATATATCCAGTAAGCAGCATTTGGTTCTGTACAAGAAAGAAAACCTTTCGCCAGAAGTCTCATAATTAATAACATGGTCAGTCGGTTTATAATGACAGAGACAGGGTTGACAAAAACAAGATGATTGCAACAGTACGGCTGTGTGGAGGCGCACTGCTTGTGAATAAGATCCATACTGGTCCTTCATGTGGTTATAGACATTTAACAGTGCCCTCTACTTTAGCTTCAGCATTAGAAACCAGAGCTATATGTAGACTGCTTCAGTAGCTAGACTTCACATAAACAGTAGTCTTATGACCTGAGCATCAGTTGCCACGTCAGGAGCAAATTGTTATACCAAACACGCCATCTAGTGGTCTATTTGGGAATCATAATTTGTGTGTAATTTAAAAACCAGACTTGACTCCATTTGGCCTCTAGATGGTGATACATTCATTGGTCCATGGCTTGAGTAGGGCCTGAACTCTTCCACAATGTAAACAGAAGGCCTTATGGGAAAACGTACTAGATGCAGACATCTTTATAATGTCAGCAGAGAAACAAGACATCTTTGTTGATGATGTTTTGGTTTGGTGTGAACAGTGACAGTTGTAAAGTTTTGTCTGTGTAACCACAAACAGCAGCGTCTTCCTACTGTCCCACTGAAGCAGTCTGCTATGACAATATGTCTTGGCGAGACCAGTAAACTCCCCACACACACTCAAACAGTTGGGCCAGCAACACACACACACACTCTAGACTCAAAGGAAGAGTCCTACTGGGTGATATGGTAGTAATTTGTCCTCTGTGGCAGTCTGTTATTATTCTCTCAGCCCATTCTTCCCTTTCCTCTTGATCTCTTTCCCACTTTCCCTCTTTTCTTTTTTCCATCATCCCCCTGTCTCTGTCTTTCATAGCGTTACAGCCAGTAGTAATATGGCACAGTCTTTATTTAACTAAGCAGGAATTGTTGCCTGTCTGGATCCTGTTTATGAAGTGTATACACACACACACACACATCAGGCGGGGTCATCTTTAGGTAATGACATCATGGGGGGAGAACAAATCAAGACTAACCCTGACCTAAGACTGTGTCATGTCATGCCACCATGAAGAGAGTTTGCTCAGGAAAACTCATATAACATATAAGATGTTATATAACATAACATATAAATGCTGCCGAGCTGAGTTTTGTCATTAGCTTCAGGATACATTTGGGTTTTCTGAAAGACCATCAAAGCAGTTCCACAAGGATTTTCTGTGCTCAGCTTTAAGGTTCAGAAAATGGTATGCATCAGGATTTCCATTACCAAAACAGGAGAGGATAAAAGTGACTTTTCCAGTAACAGGACTTTGCTCAGTGTGTGTCTAGGTGTCGGCTTAGGTTTGTTTGAATTAGGAGAATGTCTTTCCAAGGCAGAGTGGAGGGAGAAGGCAGGAGAAGACATAAACAAAGGAGTCGAACCTGCTGTCTGCACAGATGGACAACAACTGCTGAATGACCTGGACAGACAAATACATACCAACTCCTTGTTTGGAAGCTTTTATTCTTATTTGAGCTTCATAAAACATACAGTGCTATCAATTTCCCTCTATAGTATTTTAAGTATTGTAATGTGTATCAAAGTGTGGATGATAAAAGACACCCAAATATTCTGCTGATCAAAATCCATCAAATAAAATATACATCATCAGACTGGTAAACATGGACAGAAAACACAGCTCTTTTCTTGTTTAACCAGAAATTAGAACTGCAGACGCTCCATCACTTCAGATCAGTTCATATTTCCATATATGGCTTGTTCATAAGTCCTTGTAGGATGTTGCTCATGGCCAAATGGAACTTTAATGCAATATACAGAGTCTTGCCCAACATTAGTTCACACTTAAAACTAATGAACTGTCCGGTTCTTCAACGTACAACAACTTGAGGGTGGATATTGAACAGTAAGTCATCATTGCCTCGACGAATCTCGAGCAGGAGAGGCTGATCACGTTGTAACACCTCAAGGATGTCTTCAGTGGTCTGAACTGGTTGTCTGTTTATTTTGACTATAACGTCACCTTCCTTAATACCTCCACTAAAACACAGAGGAAAGAAACTGCAATCAGTTACAACGTAAAATGTGTACATGCCAACAACACATGACTGACCATAGATGTCATCATTCTCTTCACAAGAAATTCATTTCTAACAAAAAAAAATGGATTTTAAAATCTCCCCAATCATCAAAGTCAAACATCAAACATCTAAGTTCGGCTGATGAGACTTTGATGAATCGCGGTCTCCCTTGCAAGGTGTCTTCAGCCCTGTGTGTGTATGTGCTTGGGGTTTTGCGTGTGTGTGTGAACATACTTTTGTGCTGCACTGTCAGGTATGACTTGGTGCACCAAAACTCCACAGCTGACCTCAGGAAAGTCTGGATTCTGACGTCTCAACTCCGCCACTAGACTGAGACACACAAAGACGCAACACTGCTAATGCTAATGCTAATACAAACACTATATATCTTATCTTAGACATCATATATCTCTATATATATATCAATAGAAATACTGTTACAAACAACATCATCAACGGCCCCTTATCATTTGACTAAATGCTGAAAATTGTATTTGTGTTTGTAATATAAAGCCTAATGTGTGTGTGTGTGTG